CCCCCCCGCTCCCTCGGAGATGCCGCTGCCCACCGGGGCCTCGGGGCACCAGCCTGCCCCCCTGGGCACAGGGGCCACCCTGGGCCCCGTTACCTTGCTGGCTGGGCCGGGCCACCCCAAAGGGAAGGATGGTGCCTCGGGCCTGGAGCCCTGGGCGGAGCCATCGCCTCCCACCCGGCAACATGGTGCCCCCAGGGCCGCCCCACAGGGGAGTGGGTGGAGGCGTGAGCGGCCGCGTGGCACAGGCGGCGGCCGAGGGGGAGGAGCCAGAGCCACGCACTCGGGGCCCCTGCCGATCGGAGCCCTGCCCCCGGGGCCCCGCCCGCCACAGGGAGCCAGCCGGGGACCCTCAGCGGACAGGGTCCCACTCGGTGGTCGCCCAGCGGGGACTTCCAGGCGGTCACGCCCGCTCCTGGAGAATCTCATTGCCGCTGATGGGCCATCGTTGGCACAAGACTGCCCCGGGCATAGGCCGGTCCCGCTGGGGGCAGGCAGGGCGTCCCTGAGGGGCCGCAGTCCCATGGCCGTGGCCTGCGAAAGCATAGCTGCACCCCCCCCCCTGCCCAACAGGAGGGAAGGACCTGCAGCTGTTGGAAAGACGGGAGACCCTGTCCTCAGCCCGGCCTCCTCGGGTCCCCGGGCTCCGGCGGCTCCGGCAGCCGGCAGCCGGGCAGGGCTGAACCCCGGCGGCGCCCTCAGCCGCTCTGAGGCCGTGGCTGTGAGCTCCCAGCACACAGCTCTGCCCCCAGGACAGTCCGGGAAACAGGGGCCGGTGGGGAGCCAGGCACCGGGAAGGGGTCCCCCGGGGCCCAGGTGGGGAGCCCTGGCTGCAGGCGGCAGCGGAGCTCTCCCAGCCCAGATGCCCGCGGGCGGCGGGAGGTCAGCAGGGGACCCCCAAAGCCGCTGGGGGGCCGGACCCTGCGGTGCCTGAGGGTGGGGCCGGCACACACACTGCGGGGAGACAGAGCCAGCCTGGAGCGGAGGCGGGCCCTGGTCGAACCCCTCCCAGAGGGCACTGGGCAAAGCTGGGCAACCCGACCCCTCAGACCCCTGACCTGACCAGGGAGCAGCGTCAGAAGAGACTGAGCCAGGACTCCGCAGGGCAGGCAGGGGAGGGGGAGGCTGCGGGGGGAGGGGGCGGCCATCTCTGAACCGTGCAGCAAGGGGAAGCGAAAGGAAGAGGATTTGAGGGAAAGAGGCCAGAACGGGCCCAGGGTGGAGGGTGCGGCGAGGGGAGCCACAGGTGCTCAGCGAGGTCCCCGCTCCCTGTAGTCCCCGGCGGTGCTCCCTGGCTCAGGGGCAGCTGCGGTCTGGGCCCTGGGCCAGCCACGGAGGCCTTGGCCCCTCTGTGCTCGCACCCTGGACTGGAGGTGTCCAGCGGGAGGGTGTCAGGTCGCAAAGGCCACCTCTCTCCAGCCTGGTGGGTGGCGGGGGCCCAAAGCAGAGGGACTGCCCCCGGGGAGGGCCTGAGCGCCTGCTGCCCCCAGGGCTCCACCAGCAGCGCCCACACCCCCACCCGAGAGCACCCACACCCCCACCCGAGGGGCACCCATACCCCCACCCGAGGGGCACCCACGGCTCCACCCGAGGGGCACCCACGGCTCCACCGGAGGGGCACCCACGGCTCCACCAGAGGGGCACCCACACCCCCACCCGAGAGGCACCCACGGCCCCACCAGGGGCACCCACGGCCCCGCCCGAGGGGCACCCACGGCCCCACCAGAGGGGCACCCACGGCCCCGCCCGAGGGGCACCCACGGCCCCACCGGAGGGGCACCCACGGCCCCGCCCGAGGGGCACCCACGGCCCCACCGGAGGGGCACCCCCGGCCCCCAGAGCAGCACTGCCCTGTGCATTCCTCCAAAGTCCTGGTCACCGGATGGGGAGGGAGCCAGCCCTCGGTCCCCAGGAGCCGGCCCCTCCGGGCTTGGTCCCCAGCATCTGCTCCCTCAGGTGCCTCCCCGGCCCCTCACTCATTTCCATTCTTACTCAGGGGCTCCCGCCACTTATCACTTCCTGGACTCACAGGGGTCCGGCCCCCTGGCCCTGGCTCTGAGGGGGCAATGGCTCTGAGGGGAGAGGGGGTCCGGCCCCGTGGCCCTGGCTCTGTAGGGGGGGTCCGGCCCCGTGGCCTTGGCTCTGTAGGGGGGGTCCGGCCCCGTGGCCCTGGCTCTGTGGGGGTCTGGCTCTGTGGGGAGGCGCGACCGGGCTCAGTGTGGACCCAGAGGCCATTGGCAGGAGCTGGGCAGGGCTTACGGTGGGGGCTGGGGTCCGGGAGAGGGAGGCAGAGAGCCGAGCCACTTCCTGCCCAGCCCCACCCCTTCCTCAGGCTGCAACCCTCCCTGGGGCAGGGTCCCTCCCCTCCCTCTGCCCCCTGTCCCTGCTGGGGACCAGCCGAGCCCCATCCCTACAGGCCGGAGCAGCCCAGAGCTGCAGCTTATCTTGCTGCTGCCCCTGAGGAGAGGCGGGCGGCCCTGCTGGCTGCAGCCCCCGCCCCCCACCCCGCGGTGGCCACCTGCCCCCGGCAGCTGTCCCTCCGCCAGAGAGACGCGCCAGGAGCGGCGGGAGGGGCGCGGGGCGGAGCGCTGGCTCTGGGGCTGCAGGGAGAGTGGGGGCCCCTGCTGAGCACGGGGGGGGGGGGCTTTCCCACCCCTCCAGAGGGGAAGGAATTGCCCAGTTCTCCGGTGTGGGGGGTGGGAGAGGGGCGGGAGGGGGCGGTGTGGAGGCCCATGCCCCAAACTACAGAGGCACCAACTTCCTCTCTCCCCGGGGCTGTGCCTGCCGAAGCCACGCCCCCTTTGCTAACCCAGTCCCACAATTGGGGGACAGAGCACCCCATCCCGGCGCCTGGACACGGTGGGCAGAGGTCTGTGGGCACAGCAGCCCGCTGGGGCCAGGTGGGTGAGGGTGAGGGTGAGGGTGAGGGTGAGGGTGAGGGTGAGGGTGAGGGTGGGGTGTGCCAAGCTCACCAAGGCCCAGGAGGGGTCCGGGGAGGAGCAGGTGCAGGCATAGGGGGTGGCCAGTGGGTTCCAGGTGCTCCCAGTCTGACTTGTACTAAGTGGGGTGCTGCTCCCCCACGGATTGGCTCTCAGGGGTTCCCTGAGGCGGGAAGCCCCTCCCTCTTCACTCCAGGGCTGGGAGGGCGTGTCTCCCCCCCTCCCCAACCCCCATCCCAGGCCCCCAGGCCGGACACACTCAGCCCGGGGCAACCAGCCTCCGGGGCACGCCCGCCCACTGCAATCAGAGTGTCCCCCTCTACCCCCTCCTGGCGCAGGACCCTCCTGGCATGGGGCTGTGGGTCCCGGCCCTCTGCCCTCCAGGGGTGAGCGGCGGCTGGGTGGGGGCAGCCCCCACAATTCCGGAGACAGACTTCCTTGGAGGATGCCCTCAGGGGCCCGCTCCCTGGGACCCAGCGGCAGCTCCCATAGACTGGGGGGGGGGGTATGGGGGGGGGCACAGCCAGTGTGGTGAGGGTTGACCGTTCACCGTGTGACTGTATTGTAAGTGCCTGCCAACAGGCCTGTGACCACCGGGTGCCCTTTTAGACACCGTCCCCCGTAAGCACATGCCAGCTGCCTCACAGCCCGCCGCTGCCCCACGAGGCCCCTACCCTCCCCGCTGCCCCCTGGCTCTTCAGCCAGTGCCCAAGTGCCACCGGTGGGGGTGCCACAGGGAGGGGTCCCCGCTTCTGGAGCGGGGGCTGCAGGGAGGGGGCCAGCCCAGGACCCTCCTGGTCTCCGGACTTCCCAGCTCTGCCCCCGCTTGGGCCCGGGCCCTGGGCCCGAGACACGCTCGGCTGGTGGGGGGGCCCGCCGCCAGGACAGCCTCGGCCCCAGGGCAGGGGCTCCCCTCAGGCTCTGAGCACAGTGCCCCCCCGGACCCCAAGGAGCCTGGGCAGCCAGCTGTGGGCAGGACTGAGCGGACCCGCGCCCAGAGGGGCTATTGGAAGGAAACCACCTCAGGGACTCAGGACAGCAGGTGCGTGGGCTCCCGGGCCAGGCGTCACTGCCTGCCACCCTCCTGGCAACGGGGGCCGGAGGGGAGGCGGAGGCACGGCCACCATCCTGCTGCTGCCACTCTGCCCTTCTGCCGCCGGGACGCCGGCTGGCGGGACCTCCGTCACTGCAGCCGGCGGTGTGGCCCCGTGGCCCCTGCAGCCCAGCCACGCCCTCCCCTACCTCCCACAGCTCAGTCCCGTGCGGGCGGAGCCCACGCACATCACCCATCCTGACCCGTTCCAGGGGCCCAGGCCGAGCAGAGGCAGCGGGATGGCTCAGGCAGACCACGGGCAGACCAATGATGGGCAGGCCTGCGGGACTTAGGGCCAAGAGGGGTCCTCCCCATGGAGACAGCAGTGCTGGTAAGGCCTGCACCTGGATCCAGCCATGCCTGAGCCCACACCTGCACCTAGATCCAGCCATGCCTGAGCCCACACCTGCACCTGGATCCAGCCATGCCTGAGCCCACACCTGCACCTAGATCCAGCCATATCTGAGCACACACCTGCCCCTCACCCAGCCACACCTGAGCCCACAACTGCACCTGGATCCAGCCATTCCTGAGCACACACCTGCCCCTCATCCAACCATTCCTGAGCCCACACCTGCACCAGGATCCAGCCATATCTGAGCACACACCTGCCCCTCACCCAGCCACACCTGAGTCCACACCTGCACCTAGATCCAGCCATGCCTGAGCACACACCTGCCCCCCATCTAGCCATGCCTGAGCCCACACCTGCACCTGGATCCAGCCATGCCTGAGCACACACCTGCCCCTCACCCAGCCACACCTGAGCCCACACCTGCACCTGGATCCAGCCATTCCTGAGCCCACGTCTGCCCCTGGCGGTTGTGTGAGCTGAACACGTCCTGTTTGGCCAGTGAGATGTCCTGACAAACCCCCAGAGAACACAGGGAGCCTGTTCCCTTTGCTGCAGGCTCCGAGAACAGGACAGTCCACACTCACTGCCCCCCTCCTCTGAGACGGCAGCCGCTCACCATGACGGATGGGGTGGCCATGCCCAGCAGCTGGAAGTCCATGCTGGCCTCCACGCCACACGCCCCCTCGCCGCGGCCCTGGCTCGCCGGGGGCAGCATGCTGGCCTCCACGCCACACGCCCCCTCGCCGCGGCCCTGGCTCGCCGGGGGCAGGTCAAAGTAGGTGCTGTCCGGCTCCCTGGGGAGAGGAGAGGAGGCAGCGCCCTCAGCCCCGACCGCCCAGGCCTGCACAGGAGCAGCCCAGGCTGGGGGGGGGCCTCATTTTCCTGTCCCCGGGGTGTGCCTGCCTCTAGGGGTCTGCCTGGGACCTCCCCTCCCTTTGCCCCCCCTGCCACCTCCCTCCCCTCCCGCCTCACCCTCCTCCCTCCCCCCCCTGCCTTCTCCCCCTGCCCCCTCCCCTCCTCCCGCCCCTCCCCCCTCCTTCCCTCCCTCCTCTCTCCCCCCTCCTCCCTCCCCCCTCCCTCCTTCTCCTCCCTCCCCCCTCCTCCTCCTCCCCCTCCCCCCTCCCCCCTCCCCCCCCTCCTCTCCTCCCCCCTCACCTCCTCCCCTTCCCTTCCTGCCTCTTCCCCCCTCCCACTTCCTGTCTCCCCCCTCCACCTCTTCCCTCCCCCTCCCGCCTCCTCCCCTCCCCCTCCCGCCTCCCTCCCCTCCCCCCTCCCGCCCTCTTCCCCCCTCCTTCCTCCTCCCCTCCCCCTTCCCTCCTCCTCCCCTCCCCCTCCCGCCTCCTCCCCTCCCCCTCCCCATCTCCTCCCTCCCCCTCCCGCCCTCCTCCCCTCCCCCGCTGCCCTTCCAGGGCGTGGGAGCACCAAGGAGGCATGGTCGCGTGGGCTCTGTCCCCTGGGGCCTCCCCTGGCCCGGACCCTGTAAGGCTGCTCAGAAGGAAGCGCCAGACTCTAGAGCTGGATCCCGGGAGCAGGCCCTGCAGCACCCAGCCCGGCCCAGTGGGGGGGCGGGGGCCGGAAATACTCCACAGGGAGCTCCACAGGTGCTGGAAGGTGGTCCCCTCGTCTCCGCGGGCTGGGGGCCCGGACATCTTCCCCGCACCAGCCGGGCCGCTCCCTCTGCGGGCAGAGAGGGGGCAGTGAGCTTGGGCGGCCCCTGCGCGCTCCCCTCCCCCTTTCCAGGCCAGAGGCAGGCGCCCTGCCTTGCAGGCCCGCAGGCCGGCTTCGGGTCCCCGGACGGCGGAGGGGGGCTCGGACCTCCGCCGTCTCCTTGGGGGGCGGGGAGACACCGCTCAGGTTACTGTGAACTTGCCCCCGGGCTGAGCCAGGGCCGAGAGCCAGGCTTGGGGGCTCCCGGACACCCAGGCTGTGGGCCCAGCTCCGACAGAGGTCGCCTCTAGGGACAGCATAGCAGGGCCCAGAGGAGCCGGCCAGCCCTGCTGGCGACCTTTCACCTTTCATCCCAGAGGAGGGTCCACCTGAGACCCCAACAGGAACCAGCCGGGACCCAAAAATCCCGGTGGGCCACGGCCGCCAGAGCGGGTCCCACACGGGAGTTCCCTTCCCAGAGGCGCCGGGGCGGTGGGCCTGTGCCTGACCAGGGCCTCTCCTGGTGCCCCACGCGGGAGGAGGTGGCAGGCCAGGCCGGCTCTGCTGGGCCTCGGCCCCGTGCGGTGGATCTCGGGTCCTGGTGCCGCAGCCACAGCCTGGCCACGCCAAGCGGGCAGGCCCGGACCTGCCTGAGCCGCTGGGACAGGAGCCGCGCCCGGGCTCTGTCACTCTGTCCCCACGCGGGCCGGTCCCGGCGGGAGGCTGTGGCCGGGCCCCAGGGTGCCACGTGCCGGGCAGCCAGTCCCCGGGGCAGGGCCACGCTCCTTGAGGCCGCCAGGGACCAGGCAGGCCCGGGGAGGGCCCGGGGACTAGCGGGGCTCCGAGAGGGCGGCCGGCCGGGGACAGCAGCTAAGGAAGTGCCGCCGGCCTCACCGCTCTCCCGAGGCCCCGAGCGGAGACATGACCCGGGAGCCGCACGCCATGCCACGCCACGCCGGGCAGGAGGGCCACGTGGTCTGCTCGGAGTTGGGGGTGAGCCCAGCGGTGTCCGCCCCCACGCCAACAGACCTTCGGCTCCCACCCACAGGGTTGGACCAGGAGCTGCCAGCCTGGCACCCCTCCGGCCGGCAGGTCGCCCCGTGGGGACTGAGCTGACCCGGGTCCAGGGGGCCGGGAGGGGGGCAGGGCGCGGGCCACAGGGCGGTCAGAGGGGGCCTTAGGAGGCTGGGCAGCAGCGCCCATTCCCCAGGCCGGCCCTTTGGGGTCGGCACAGCCTCCGGGTGGGGAGTGTGCCCGTGGAGGCGGGACTGGCCGGCATCTGGTCCGGCCCTGCGTCTGGCCCATGGACCCTCCAGCCCGAGTGGAGCAGCTTAGGGAGTGTCACCCCCGTCCCCCGGCTCAGACAGCCCAGCCCCCACAGCAGCGACGCAGGGGTCACCAGTGGGTGGGGCCACCGAGGGGACCGAGGCGCCCGCACCCACGCCGTCGGTGCACCCACGCCGTCGGTGCTGCTCCCGGGAGGAGCCAGACGCCCTCCGGTGGCCAGCCTCCCCCGCCGCTGCCACCAGGACGGGCACAGTGTGGGTGCGGAGGGCGGTGGCTCCGGGGGCTGGGGACAGGGAGATGGGGAGGGGCTGTTCCTGGGCGGGGGTCTCCTGTGGGCTGAGGAGAACGTTCTGGAACGGGACCCAGGCGGTGGCCTCCGCAGAGGGTCCATGCTCTCTCCTGTGACCTCCGCTCATGAACTCGCTTTAACTTGGAAAAGCTGGAGCCTGGGGCCCGGCCGGCGTGGCTCTGGGGTCGAGTATCGACCTGTGGACCAGGAGGTCAGGGTTCGGTTCCGGTCAAGGGCACATGCTCAGGCTGTGGGCATGAACTCTAGTAGGGGGTGTGCAGGAGGCAGCCGATCCATGATTCTCTCTCATCATAGATGTTTCTCTCTCTCTCTCTCTCTCTCTCTCTCTCTCTCTCTCTCTCTCTCTCTCTCTCTCCTCCTCCTCCTCCTCCTCCTCCTCCCCTCCCCTCCCCTCCCCTCTCCTCCCCTCCCCTCCTCTCCTCACAGGGGCAGCCTCAGTCGGGTAGCAGGTCCTAAGGTCTGAGCACCTGGCCCCTCGCTGGGGTCACCTCTCTGCCTCCTCTGCTCCCAGGCCCAGCCCTGCGCCTGCCCCTGCCCCTGCCCCACCCGCACACAGGGCGCTTCTGCCTCTCCCACCCCCTTCGCCCCAAGGGATCCCAGCACCTCTCTGTGACTCAGGGCTGTCCTGGGCCCTAGCTCAGGCAGAGCTGCCCAGCCCGAGCCGGGCGCCTGGCCGCTGCCGTCCTGCCCCCTCCCCGCCCCCTGGGGCCCTGCCTCGAGGGCCTGCAGGAAGCCCAGCACCCAGAAGCCCCGGCCGGGTGACTGGAGGGGGGGGCAGTGCAACGCCATCTTCCCTAATTGCGTCAAGGCGCCCCGCGAGCCGGCCCTGGGCACTGAGAGCCTGGGTGCCCGGCTGCCCCCAGAAGCCGTGGCCCTTGCCCTTGGGGCAGGGCTGGGCCTGGGTTCCCGACTGAAAGGCAAGGGGCCTCCTCCTCGGACAGGGGGCCAGGGTGGTGCCCCTCCTCCTGCACCCAGCCACATAGCCATGGGAGCCAGTGCCGGGCAGGCCTCTGTCCCACGAATTTATCTTTTTAAATATATTTTTACTGATTTCAGAGAGGAAGGGAGAGAGAGAGAAACATCCATGATGAGCGATAATCATGGATCGGCTGCCTCCTGCACGCCCCACACCGGGGATGGAGCCCGCAACCCAGGCCTGTGCCCTGACCGGGATTGAACCATGACCTCCTGGTTCATAGGTCGGCACTCATCACTGAGCCATGCCGGCCGGGCTCACCCAGAGAGGAGGCCTGCTGTTCTCACAGAAGCTCCGACAGCCCGCAGCTGAGGGGCGGCAGGAAGCGTACGGGGATGGGGGTGAGGGGCTGAGAGGGGGTAGAGGGTTAGAGGGGCCCGGACCCGCCAAGGTCGGGCTCTGATCCGTGGGCCATGGGAGCCAGCTGGGGGCTTGGCTCCCAGAGGGACCAGAGGGGTTTCCTGGAGGCCCCCCAGGGGCACATCGTGGGCCTGTGAGCCGAGGGGGCGGCCTTGGCGGATGCGAGTGACAGAGGGAACGTGGACCGAGAGGATGGACCGGGGTGGGGGGCAGAGGATGAGGACCCCTTGCAAGTTGGCGCCCGTTGGCTGAGTTTAGGCCTCCAGCCAGCCACGGGTGGGGCGCCTGGAGCCCCCGCAGCTGTGTGCTTGTCGGGGGCCTCTGGCCTCCGGTCTGTGGGATGGGAAAGGCACCCGGTCACACAGCGCTGACCTAGGCCAGCGGTCGGCAATCTCCTTAGTCCACAGAGCCAGATACCAACAGCACAACGGTTGACATTTCTTTGGAGAGCCACATTGTTTAAATGTAGACTTCTCCTAACGCCACTTCTTCAACATGGACTCGCCCAGGCCGGGGTATTTTGCGGAAGAGCCACGCTCAAGGGGCCAAAGAGCTGCATGTGGCTCTCGAGCCGCAGTTTGCCGACCACTGCTCTGGGCCGAAGCACCCAGCAAGGTCCCCGGCTCGTTGGCGGCGTGGGGCGTGGCGGCCCCGTGGCGGCTGGGCCACCTGCACGCCTGAGCTCAGTCACTTCCCCGCCACCTGCCCCCTCCGTCCCTCCCACGGCTCCCACAGGGCCGAGGGCCAGACACACAGTCACTTCCCCGCCACCTGCTCCCTCCTCCCTCTCACTGTCATGCGCACAGACACACACACGCACCCCCCGAGTCCCTCACAGCACATGCCCCACCACGGGAGTCCCATCCCGTAAGCAGGAGTGGTCCCCCAGCCGGGCGCACCCCGGGGCCTGTCAGCCTGGGCACCCTTCCGTCCCCGCTGGGCAGGAAGTAGCGAGAGCTCCCAGTGGGCCCGAGGGCCAGCTCTGCCCGCCCACGTGGTACCCAGCCAGGACCGTGCCGGGTGCCCATCAGCCCCCGTGGGGGCAGGTGGCTCCCCAAACAGCCACCAAGAAGGGGCTGGTCCCCGTCATCAAAGCCCCATCGGGGGACACACCGGGCTGGCCCCAGGCTGCCCTCTGCCGCCGGCCCAGGGCACCCTCCACGGGGCACCGGGTGGCAGCCATGTGAGGGATCCGCACCCTGGGTGGCCCCAGGGGGGTGGCGACAGGACCTCAGACTGAGCCTGGGAGGGGGGCCGGCCGGTGCACCCACGCCTACCTTGGCGGGCTGGCCGGAGGGTCTGCAGGGGCCACAGGCCCGCCGCCGCTTGCTGGTGGCTGGGCAGGCCGTGGGGCAGCGTCCCGTAGCCTAGGTGATGACATTGGAGTTGTGTGGCCTGGCGTCTGGGGCAGGCCGGGGCGGAGCATGGCCCGGAGCCCTGGGGCCAGTGGCCGGCTGTGCCGGGGCTCCAGCCCCTGCCAGCGGGAGCCGAGTGGAGGCGGGGCAGCGGCGGGAAGCCGTGGCCCCCTCTCTGGGTTTGCATGCCTTTTTCTGCTCCTCACTCCACAAACTCCCGCACACACAGTAGTAGAGAGAATGTGCCTCGCATCTGTCTCCAGCCCCAGCTCCGACTGCCCACAGCCCGTGCACCCCCCACAGGGGGTCCCGTCCGCCACTCGGAGCAGGGCTCCTGGCCACAGGGCCTCACCTGGTCAGCGCTCACCCATCACGCCCCCAGGACACTGCGGGCATGCACCTGTCTTCGTCCCACCAGAACGCACACGTGCACACATGTGCACAAGCCCACACAGACATGCACACGCACGCACACACACACAGACTTGCATGGGCACACATGTGTCCATGAGCACATGGGGGTGCCACGATCTGTGCGGGTCCCTGACCACCCCGGCGCCTCTCAGCAGCAGCCCTGCTTCCCGCTGGGGTGCAGACGGAGGGGCGCCGCCGTGGGCCTGGGGACGAGGTGCACGGAGAGGCTGGGGGGCTCCGGAGGGCCCCAGGCTTGCCAGCAGCTCAGGGGAAGTCGTCGCACCTCTCACTGCCACCCCC